TTTACGTTCGTTATAATTTTAATTTTGCGCATAATATGGCAACAGAGAAAACCGAGATAACTTATAACTAATTTTTCATATTCCTATCTTCATAAAGGTTTTCGTGCTGAAGAAAATTTTGAATTACCGAAACTTTTAAAGCTGTCCTCATATTCAATTGTACATATACTACAAAGAAATTCAGTTGAACAATAAAAGTAACTGCTTTCTTATTAATTTTGATGTATTTGCCTTCCTCTTAATGAATGCCTTAACTGCTTCCACTTTTTCTTATTATTAGTTCTTATTATGAATGCACACAGATTTTGGGTGGAAAGTCCGACAACTAGGATGGTAAATACGTATGCGGGAGGATAATATTAAAATTGATCTTGGAGGACTAAGACGAGGTGTTATGGACTGGATTCGTGCGGCTAAGGATATAGATCATTGGGAGCTCCTGGAACACGATAATGAACCTTCGGGTTCCATAAAAAGTTGGGAAGTTCTTGGGTATCTGAGAGACTGGAGGCTTCTCGTGGAGTCGGTTTATTTACTTACTCATGGAGCTGAGCCCTTCTTGAGGAACCGCCAATTCTGCAGCTACTCAAGAATTTCCTAGCATTTTATTGAACCCGAAGGTTCATTACCGTGTTCACGAGAGCCCTCCACTGGTCCCTATCATGAGGCAGATCAATCCAATCCATACTATCCCATCCTATCTTTCTAAGATCCATTTTAATATTGTTCATCCACCTACGGTCTTGCCAGTGGTCTCTTTCCTTCTGGCTTTCCCACCCAATATCCTACATGCATTTCTTTTTTCCCCCTTTCGTGCTACATGCCCTGTCCACCTCATCCTCCTTGATTTGATCATTCTAATTATGCTTGGAGAAGAGTACAAGTTATGAAGCTCCTCATTATGCAGTTTTCTCCCACCTCCTGTCACTTCATCCCTCTTCGGTGCGAACATTCTTCTCAACACCCTGTTCTCAAACACCCTCGGTCATGAAGTTGGGTGTAACGAGAAATATATTCAGCCACACCAGGCTACAAACACTACGTCCTAGTGACAAGGGAACAACCATGTATTACGAACCAGCCCACTGTTTTACAGGTTGAAGAGTGTTAGCCCCAAAATTTCCTCCTTTTTATTAGCGGGTAGCAAAGTTATTGCCCTGTGTTTAAATGTATTTGTCATATATTTACTTCCCTGAAGAACTGTTAATTACAAGATTAATCTGTGTGTGTGTGTGTATACATGGACGCGTGACAGAAACAAAATGATAGATCCACATGGTAACATGCATTCAACCTCATGCCATAGAAGCAGTGGACCTAATTAATGTCAAGATGGGTTCTACATTAGCACGCATGGAAGGGAAGTGCATGTAACATTTTAATCGGAACACGTAAAGGAAAAATCTCCTTCGGAGACCAAGTCCTGAATAGGAAAAATGTGAAAATTACTTTCATCCTTTGGCGATGTAAGGCATTTAAACGCAACCATACTTCTCAAACGGAAGATATTTAAGTACCCTTATCCAAATTGTGCAAGTTTAACTAAAACTGCTGTAAAAGCAAAGAGAAGACGAATTTTAAAGCGAAAAATTTACTATGTACATAGAAAATGATGTAAATTTAGATTATCTATACAGAATTGCTGCCGACAGCAGTAGCCTAGCCGTCTAAGTCATGCACTAACTTTGCTAGGAAGTCGGGATCTGGGTTCGAATCCGACTCAGGACATGGATGTTCATTGTTTGTGGGTTTTCTTTTTTTTTTTTTTATTTGCGTACAAGTAGAGGCCTTGCGACGAGGTAATAACCAGCACAAGGAGTCCTACTGAATGTCTAAGATCTAGTAAACAGAAGCGAAACGGAGAGTTTCATGAAGGTAGGCCAAGACCCAAAATGGAGCTGTAGCGCCAAAAGAAAAAAAGAATACACATTTGCGATATTTTAATATTTTCGTCTGAATTAAATACTTTCGTAAATCTAGTCCATTCTCTCTTTTAACTTTTCTCTAAAATACATTTCAATATTATCCTCCCATTTTAATCCTGTGTCTCCCAAACGATATCTTGCCCTGCGAGTTTCGAAACAAACTTTTTTGCATAAATGTCATATATTTCCGAATTAATAGACGGCCAAGGTATGACGTGAAGCGCTGAGAAATATAAAACTTCCCGTTATGGAAATTTTCTTATATTTTCTTTGATCCAAAGAGATCTTTCGTATGGGGCCTACTGTGCTACCAAGAGACATTTTACCATTCGGAACATTCGGACACCCCCATCAGCCTCCAAGTACAATTCCAACCCTCTAGGCTCCGTCTTTTTCATGTCACTCTGGAACGCCTTATCCTAAAATCTTGCTCGTAGTATCCCGCCACCCAGCTCAGCCTCTCTTCATGAGCATGCTGGACCATTGATAAGCATGGCGTCTCTCCTTTCTACAGAAATGAGGATGGAGCGTAGTCTGGGGCGGCTTCTGACAGCTACTATGCCTTCCATGATCTCCAATCCTCGTGAAATTTAAAATGAATTGCCTCTTCGACAACATCTCCCCAGTAGACGAGCGGTACACATCCCATTAAATCTGAATATTTCTTGTCTAAGTAAATATTGTGACATGACCCCTGAAATCAGAAACAGTGAAGCCAAAGTAGACATTAATTGTTAGGCAACGGCTCAGTAAACGGGTTCCCTTGGCAACAAATACGGAAGCAATAACTGAGACTATATAACGAGGATCCCAGAGGCCAAGCATGCGACCGTTTAAGTAACTACGTTGCCGTTGTAGCAGGAAGTACTACAAATAGTTCATAGTCTTCTCTACTGAGTCTGGACTGAGGCCCTGCATATATATTTATATATATTTATTTACATGTTTAACATGTAAAATGTAAATGTCCCTTACATTATTACAAACGACATACTACTGCGGACAATGAATTACTCCTACAACAGATAGATCCGTCCTCTCACTTGAGAGGGCGCCCCAGAATAGCAAGACTAAAACTGTCAAAGAGTAATAAATATCTGGTCATAAGCCCCAGATTGGGCTCAACACCAAGACTGACCGACTGACTGTATGACTGACCATCAGTCACAATGTGACTTTGACTTGACTAAGCGAGAGTTGAGGGTTGGCAGTCGATAGTTGAGCTCTGCAAATGAGACTGAGAAGAGAAAACGATATAGTTGAATTGACAGTGGGCAAGAGTACTGCATGGGCGGGTGTGACAAGAGGACTTGAGAGCGGAAGCCTGTAGAATCTCCAATGTTAGAAGCCGTTGCCCAGAAACGGCTGATTAAGACTCAACAGGCTGCAAAAGGCTTAACGTGTGTTGTGGTGATTTCTAAAGTATGAAGATTAGCAGTAGCACTGTAATTACTTGTAGTTCCGAGTGGTGTTAATAAATCCTTATCCAATATGCAACCCGTCTAAAGTCACACACACATGAATTCTGACAATATCAACTGATCAGGAAGACCCTTCGATCATGGACTCAGATATTCAGTAAATGTTCAAAGGTGTATATGTATTTTATACACAGATTTACAAGTAATAAAGTCGAAAGGAAGCCATATTTGTTTTCACCGCTTGGGGTTATCCAAGATTGTAAATTTACGTAGGTTTACATGCCATGTCGCTGTTAATTAGAAGATAATGAAGGGCCATGTTGGACAACTTGGCCTACTGAATAACATGATGCCTACAATTTCTATTATAATACCCTGGTAATGCTTTTACATAGTACAGAATATCGGGGAATATTATTTTGCAGATCATCAGAATTAAAATGCCACTCGATGTTTCTCAGTTATCTCGTTTATATTCTTCACATTGCTTTTAATTTCCTACTTTTATAACATTTTTCTTGTTTGAGATTTTATTGAAGAAAATTAACACAATTACTTATGGTTTTTATAGTCTTTTTAATATTGTCACGTGTAGGATGGTGCGCGTGACGAAATGATGGGTTCTATTTCTCATGATTGGATTTATTAGCACCTTGGTTACAACCTTTTTTAATGACACTTAAATTCGTCTATATTACGTTGAGTTTGACATACAGCTAGAGCGAGAAACACAGAATTTAACGACAAACCTAACAAAGGACAGACTTCTGTAAGGCCTAAATGAAATGAAAGGTTAACAGTAAGTTAAATTTTGCCAAGAAAGAAAATCATTGCCATATGGATTGGATTTAACTGACTCGAATAGTGTCGAATGGTGGACTTGTGTATTATTAACAGGAATTAATGTTTAATATTATTATATGATTATTATTTGGCCGGAATAGTTCAATCACAATTCGACTGACTACGGGTTGAACTACTGGGATCGATTCCCAGCAAGGCCAATATATTGTTCTCTAATTCACAGTGTCCGCACGTGCTTTAAGGCCCTCTCATCTCCTAGTCAATTCGTATTGTTGGGTTTTCCCTGGGAGTTCAGGGGGCGGGTTGTAAAACTGACCAATCAACAACGTCAAATGTCCAGGTTCAGAAAGGTGGAGCTATACCTCCACTGCCCAAACGTCTTCATGACTTGATGCTAAATTAATTAAGCACAGGCAAAGCTTTAACCTTACTATTATGATGATCCTTATTATTTTTTCCCCCTTGGCACTACAGCCCCAGTGGGCCTAGGCCTGCCTTCGTGAACTTTGATTATTATTATTATTATTATTATCCAAGGACTCTGTTTTGTGCTTGAACTCTGTCTCTCTCTCTCTCTCTTTACATAAAGCAGCTTTGCACAACTAAGGTAGGCCGCACACCAGCATGCGTCAAGACACGATGTCTGCGACATGACGCAAAGAATGGAGCACAGTTGAAACGAATTAGATTATGAAAACTGCCGCATACCGGTCTGAGTCATGATGCTGATGAATCACGAATGAAGCAAGAGAGCGTTTTTGTCTCATGTCTTGATGCTTGCCTTGACGCAGTTGGTGTGCGGCTGGCCTAAGAGCCCACGGACTGTGACGTAATTTTGTATCTGTTGCAGATTCAGCTTTACGGGTTTAATGCGGAGCTCTACCACAACATGTCGGAAGCGCAGCACAAGTCTCAAGGCATCGTTGGGATCTCTCTCATGGTCCAGGTAACGAACAGCAGCTCATAGGCCACTTATGCATTAACAGGACTAAAGGTGAATCACACAACGCAGACACACACAGATAAAACCAAACCAAACGAAGGCAGATTTGACAATTTAATAATAAACAGAAGTAGAACCAAACCAGGAACACCGGAAGGTAGCGGGTTCAAGTCCTGATGATGTGTATTCTTTCATTTTACCTAATTATGGCCGCGACATAGCTCAAGCGGTTAGTCGCTGGCTTTCCACTGGCCCGGGTTCGATCCCGGGTCTGATCAAGTGGGATTTGTGGTGGACAAAGTGGCGCTGGGGAAGGTTTTCTCCGAGTACTTCGGTTTCCCCTGCCAATCTTCATTCCACCAATTGCTCCACAATCACCCTCAACTATCATCTGGGGCTGGTACAATAGGCCAGAAGTGGCCGCAGTACAAGGGACTTAGTCCCACTCCACTAGCAATAAAAAATTTCCTAAACCTTCCAGCCGCACTATGGCCCTGGCGTCAACTCAGCCTCTAACAGAAATGAGTACCAGGAATCTTCCTGAGGGTAAAGAACGGCCGGTACGTAAGGATGACATCCTCACCGCCATCTGTGAACAGATTGTCTAAAAAATGTGGGAACCTCAACATCTCACAAGCCTATGGACCTCCACGGTCGGTTACAGGGAGAGCTTTACCTTAGAACCGAAAGGGAAATGATCGGTCAGTAAAGATACTGCATCTCCTCGCTGTTTCAAGTGATTAACAAAATATACACGTATATTCGACATTCTATTGGCCATGTTGAATACATGATGCTAGCCAAATTGTAGTTCGATGCGCGCGAGAATAAAGGAGCTTAAATTTTGGGCTCAAAATGTTTAATAATAGCAACCACAAAGCTCACGAATGGCTTTTAGCCTCCTTTGGCATTGGTGTTATATCGACTGGATGGTGATTACGTTTTTAAATTCTTCTATCAGTCGAACCACAAATAATTCAATGTTGCGGTAAGCGCGTTCATGTCGTACTGAAACGCATTTGGACTACAGGCTGACCCAGATTCAGGTATAGGGCCTACAATCTATATCGAGAAAATCATATATGATTCCCTGGCCAAATAAATTTGCTAATTTATGAAACTGGATTTAACTAGAAAGCTGTTATTTATCTATCCAGGAGTATTTTTTTGAACTAAAGTGATTTTTGCCGGTCACGGTAGCCGAGCGGTCTAAGGCATGTACTGTCTTCGCTCGCTTCGAAACCGGGATCGTGGGTTCGAATCCCACTCAGGGCATGGATGTTTAGTTTGTGTGTGTGCGTTTTTCTGTGTTTGTGTACAGGTAGAGGCCTTGCGACGAGCTGATCACCCGCCCAAGGAGTCCTACCGAATGTGTAAGATCTAGAAAAACCGAAGTGAACGGCGAAGTTCATGGAGGTAGGCCTAGGCCCACTGGAGCTGTAGCGACAAGGGAAAAAAAGTGATTTTCATAAATCAAATAAAGCGAAGTCAGTTTATCCAGTAACAATAATTACATTACAGACAAACGAAAGAAAAAGATAACAACCTCAAGGCCAGTTTAGGTAACAGCACAATGGAGAAAGTACTTTTCTACCTCAAACAACAAAGTATGGCATGAGGTTAAGAACAACAAACAAAACAAACTCTGTGGTTTTAGTCCGTAAGCGAACTATACCGACCGAACGACCGCCGCTTGTCGGTGAAGTTAGTGCCAACTTTTGCGGATAGAGGTTGTCGCGTGGTCAGCGCAACGGATCCCCACGGCCGTTAGTCTCGGTTTTCTGTTGTTCTAAGAAGAACAGGGGAAACAAAATCAGTAACCAGAAGGGTAGTTATGAATAGGGATACTAGGCATGACGGTGAGAGCAATTAATTATATCTTAATTTATTTTTAAGTGTTAATTCAATAGGACAAATACATAAATACATATTTTAGTATGTAGACCCACTGATGAACGACTGGCAGATAAGTTAAATATACAAGAACAGCAGCTGAGTAACGGCTTCTAAAAGCCGCCTTCATAGTCTAGGGGTAACGTTCCCACCTCATGACTCAAAGTACGCGGTGGAGGTCGTCGAAATTTTAAGGGAGGAAAAATTCAGGGAACAAGTTCTCCGGGAAGGACTTTAAGCCGTGGATCCCGTGTCGTAGATTTACGGCACGTAAAAGATCCTCATGTCTCTAAGAGACCTCTGAGCAAAATTAGGCAAGTTTCCCGCCCAAGTAGTTTCCAATGCCTCTGGTAGATGGGGGAAGTATTGGGTACCGAGAGCCGACCTTGTTGGCTGAACGGGGCTGATAGCACGCACCAGTACCGGTNGTGTTTTCTGTGTGGTGCGTGCCGAGATGTTATAAGCTGGACAAACCGGAAGCTGCATTTAGTCACACTACGGATGTTAGGGTGCGATGACCGCCAGCTCGTAGATGAAGCATGCTTAAGTAAAGACATAGAGACAGGCCAATAGAAACAATGTTTCCAATAAACTTTCATGTTATTCATACCGAGCTATAAACAATTGTTTCATGTTCTCTTCTTAATATTACACTCGACCATATTGTCGAAAAGAAACTGAAAATATCAGAGATATATGTTTCAGTGGCGATATATCACAGCATCAATTCCTTAAGACCGATGGGTCCATGTCACGTTCTCAGTATCCAACTGATCGTAAAGAATAATATAAAAAAAAGCATACGTCATTAAGATCGACTGGACTGTTCTTAGTTCAGATAGATGGTCATCAAGCCACGGGTTATACCGCAGTTTCGGGAGTAACAAAACTTTCCCTTCTCTCCAGTCATTAGACAGGATATCCCACGGGAGTAATCAATCGGTTCCGAAGTGTCGTGAGGTCCACACAAAGATAGCAGATAAGAAACTCGGAAATATCGTTGTATTGCTAAACTAGATTGATGGATCTGAAGTTAAAAGTTTAAACACAAAAGCTTTTTACAATTACAGCACGGTTTCGTAAAAGACAGTGATACGTGCATAAGTAACAACATAACAAAAATCTCGCTGGCTCGCGTGTAAAGTTGTCCTTGTGCTTAATTAATTAAGCACTGCTCCATGAAAGCGTATGGGGGGACCTCGGCACTAACTGGAGGTGAAGGGTGAGCTTCACGCTCCAGACGCTTTACCACTGGTAATTATTGAATAAGAGATTGCGTGGACCTCAGAGCCCCTCTGGACGACGTGGAGAAAGTTCTTGCCCCTACCGGGACTCGAACTACGACTATATTTGTCGTCCAGCCCGTAGCCAGTCGCTATACCATCTACGCTATCCCGGCTCGCAGACTCCCGTGTAGTCGTCATAAATTCGACTATTAATTAACTTCATAGCATGCCAGTAGAGGGCCGACCTCGCTGGCAGAAAGGGGAGATAGCGGGCACCAGTATCGGTATGGTATGGAGACAGTAGAAATTAAAAGGGGGAAGTACAATAGACTATTAGTCGCGGTGCATGGGGAAACCCACTGAATAACTGAACTTCATAGCATCACCATAGAAACCACAGTGAGCTGGAAAGTTCCAACGTGCTCACTCTTACAGGGAGGTCCTGGAAGCGATAAATCACGTCAGATCACACCACGCGGATACTTCATTACCCAAAACATGACTAATGTGTCTCCCCGGACTTCAGGTTTTAAACCACTCAAGACACGGGGCCCCATCTCTGTTATTTTCTCGTGAGACGCTGGGGTAAAAATGAAAACTAGTTAAATTAAATTGTAATTTATTAATATTGCTACAATTCCTTTACCTGTAATAAGGATATTAAATATTACCGAAATATTTTACATTATAAATCCTAAAGATTGAGGAGAGGGGGCTTTCTTAATTCTAAAATGAAGCTTTGGGTTCTTTAAAGGCTGTAAATTAGTCTTACTAAATTATCGATATGATTTTCCTACATGGGTTTACTCTGAATTACACAGTTTCGTTAAATAAAACATGAACAAAATATGAAGCCGAAAATTCATTACCCTGTTCACAAGAGCCCTCCACCCGCCCCTATCTTGATCCAGATAAATCCAACCCATACCATCCCAACCTATCTCTCTAAGATCCATTTTAATACCCATCTACGTCTTGGTCTTCCCAGTGGTCTCTTTCCTTCTGGCTTTCCCACATATATCCTATATGCTTCCTCTTCTCCCCCATTCGTGCTACATGCCCTGCCCACCTCATTCTCCTTGACTTCATCATTCTAATTATACTTGGAGAAGAGTACAAGTTATGAAGCTCCTCATTATGCAGTTTTCTCCAACCTCCTGTCAGCTTCATCTCTCTTCGGTCCAAATATTCTCCTCAGGACCCTGTTCTCAAACACCCTCAGTCTGTGTTCCTCCCTTAATTTCAGAGACCAGGTTTTACACCATTGCACAACCACAGGCAAAGTTATAGTTTTGTATATTCTAATCTTTATGTTTTTGGACAGCAGACAAGAAGACAAAAGTTCTGGACTGAATGGTAGCAAGCGTTACTCGAGTTCAGTCTCTTCTTAATTTCCTCCTGAATCAGGTTTTGATTTGTTATAGTTGTTCCCAAATATCTGAACTGCGCCACATTTTCAAAACATCTGTTGCCTATCTTTATGTCACGATTTCGCCCTGCATTTTGGTGACGAGACAGCAACATTCAATGGATTTTTTCCTCATTTATTATAATTTATTATTCGCTTAATATGAAACATTTAATTTGGGTTATAAATAGCTTTCATTGTACGGGGATGTTGTAATGCGGACTGCACAAGACACCTGTGGGATGCACAAAAATAGCTCACAGAAGCAGACCGCTGTGGAAAAACTGGTATGAAGCTTTATTATATTAGACACCACATGAAGAATAATGAACTTAATATTAAAAATGAGCCACATAAAGGCAATAAAGAAAATCTGGGACGAGGGCGCACACCGTGAGAAGAGCTATTGCATAAAGCGCTACATGTAGAGAACAAATAACAATTTCAAGATTAAACACAGAGCAGGCCCACGAGAG